CTTGTAGGATTTTCTAACACCTATTATATAAAACTTTTATAAAAGTTTTGCGTAACGAGAGAAAACGAATAAGATTTTCGTTAGTGTTTGTTATTTTATTCTCGAATCCACGCGAAGCAGGAGATCGAGCATACATGAATAAACGGTAATTTATATTAACACACACGTATACACGCATATATGTATATATTTCTATATCATAAATATACATATATATATATATATATATTTCTATATATTCACGTACAGAATGACTGCCACAGCAGATTTCATTTCTAGTAACAAGTGAACGATATCAATTAACAGCAATTGTAACATTTAGAAGGCCATCTAAAAAACTTCGAGTTTTTTGTACATTTCACACGTAATATCAATATTACAAAAATCCCGCCCGTTTCCTCCCCGCAACCATGGTGCATTCTTCCATCGTGAGAACATCGCTGGAATGCTATTTACAGTGTGCGCCTATATAGACATGCGCAATTAAGGAGCCTTGACCTTTAACCACGTCCTTGACTCGATGTTGACTCTCCCATCGCGCGGAATATCGACGAAAACTCGCGAGATTCTTGGATCGTCTGCGATGTTTGCGTTGCGATTTTTTTCGCGCCTAATTTCTCACGCAAACAAATTTGTCACGTTGGAGGATGTTTTTGGAATTCCTACTGTGTTTGGGCGAATTGGCATGTAGTTGTAAAATGCGTATCCCGCGTATATCAATGCATATCGCTTTCAGGAATCTCGCAGACTCGCAGTTTACCATCGCTGTGCGTTGCTTCCGTTCCTATTAGCTCCTCGCGTTCGTTGTTCCGGTTCCTGTCAGTCCCTTATGTTCGTTTCTTCCGGTTTCTGTGGGTCCTTCGGTTTTGTTCTTTCGGTTCCTGTTGGTCCATCGGAGCGTTTCATGTTTCCGGTCTAGTGTCCGTAACCGTACACACTCTGGTATCCGATGATGGGGCCGGACTCGCTGTAGCTGTACAGCTTCTTGGGCTGGTAGTACTTGTGTCCCTCTCTGGAAAATAAGTGCGAAATATTTTGTTAAGAGTGTGAAATATCATCAGCTTAAAAGTAGTGTCCGTGAGTGTTAAAAACTAACTTTTCATTAAATAGGATTTCAACTTTGCGCCATGTTAAAGGATACTGCGGTAAAATGTAACGCAGGAAAATGCTGCCCGACGCGTAAATATATAAGTAATCAGAGAATACAGTGAGTAAAGACGTTGTCTCGAAAGCTTGCTCTATACTATGTGTATCTAGAATATGTGAAAAATGTGACACCGTATATTTTTATTTTTATTCGAATCTCATGAATTAATTGGTGCCGTGTGCTTTTCTCTAATTTATATAATATATAAACATATATTTATATATATACATACATACAGGGACTCTAACGAACACTTTACACTGCTGCCACCTGGTTGTCACTTACGCGTATTGATACTGGTAGCCTCTTGTCTTGGCTGCGCTCTCCTGCGCATTCGCGTGGTCGTGCGCGTACAGGGATCCGTACGCTCTGCCGTTCTTGGCGAAGTTCAATGCGCTGCTCCTCTGTCCGTGACCTCCGAGATGACCTCTCTTCACAGGACCGTATATTGTGGTAGTGTAGTAGCCGGGAGACTGCGTGTAGCCGCCATGACCATAGCCAGCGTTGCCGCCGTAGCCAGCGTTGCCGCCGTGGCCAGCGTTGCCGCCGTAGCCGCCGTGGCCAGCGTTGCCGTAGCCGTGAGAAGCGACGGCGACGGTGAATAGGAAAGCGAGCGCGATGAAAATCTTCATGATCTACAATAAACGAACGATAGAATTAGCGATGCACTAAAGAGGGGTATATATATATATGTACACACACACACATATATATATATAATATATATATAGAGAGAGAGAGAGAGAGAGAGAGAGATAGAGAGGGGGGGCGAGAGAAAGAGCGCGAGAAAGAGAGAGAGAGCGAGGGGGGAGAAAGAGAGAGAAATATGGAAAGTGAGTGGAGAAGAGAGAGCGGAGCGCGATAGATGAAAGGGAAAGGCACAGGTAGCAGGGAGAATTTGGACGTATCCGTAATGACAAGCACACGAGGAGCAGGGAGATCGAGGAACGCAGACCTAGAGAAAAGTACGATGGAGCACGACGGGTGTAAAACACCACAGTACTGTCAGCCTCATATATCGCACATATTGCCGCATACAACATAGGCGAGAGAGAGGGGAGGGAGAGGGAGAGAGATGGAAAGAGAGAGAGAGAGAGGGGAAGAGAGATGGAGAGAGAGATGGGAAGCCGAGAGAGAGAGATAGAGAGGGCGCGAGAGAGAGAGAGAGAGAGAGAGAGAGGAGAGACGAGGAGAGAGAGGAGGGAAGAGAGAAGAGGAAAGATAGAAGAGATAGAGAGAGAGAGTGTGAGAGTGGAGAGAGAGAGAGAGAGAGATGAGAGAGAGAGAGAGAGAGAGAAGAGGAGCGAGAGAGAGTGGAGCGAGAGAGAGAGGAGAGAGAGATGAAGCGAGAGTGAGATAGAGAGGAGTGTGAGAGTGAAGAGAGAGAGAGAGGAGAGAGAGAGAGAGAGAGAGGAGACGTGACGAGAGAGAGAGGATGAAGCGAGAGCGAGATAGAGAGGAGTTGAGAGAGAGGAGAGATGGAGAGAGAGAGAGACAGAGAGGAGACGAAGAGAGAGAGAGAGGAGGAGAGAGAGAGAGAGAGAGAGAGCGAGAGAGAGAGATGAAGCGAGAGCGAGAGAGAGAGAGTGAGCGAGAGCGAGATAGAGAGGGAGTGTGTGTGAGAGAGAGAGAGAGAGAGAGAGAGAGAGGGGGTGGGAGTGTGTGTGAGAGAGAGGAGTGGAATACACTATGTTGCTCACGATGACACGGCGTGTACTTACGTCGCTGCAGGAATCCGATGGTGAGACAAGAGCAGCTGAGGTGGTTGCGATGACTGACTGCCGGAGCCAGCCACAGCTTATATAGCAAACCGCCATCACACTTGGCACGGTTTCTTCTCGCGCTGATTGCTATTGTTTTCTGTGCAAGCCTCCGCGTAGGGGGCTGAAAACGTTTGCCAACTAGTTAGAACCGTCATATCGCAATCGTGAATTTTTGGTTTACTTGCGCAAGATACGTCGACAAAGGCGCGCATGTTCGTGAAAATTTGGAGCGCCGTCGAAAGTGAATTGTTGCGCAAACATTTTGCCCACCAATTCTTCGCGAGAGATTCGATTATTTATCGTTCGACTCGCGTTGTTCATCTGTAAGTGGAATTGTGACGACACGGGCCGCTCCGATTTTCATCCCGCTTACCGCAAAGTCTTCCCGATCAACCGTATATGGTGTTTTTTTTAACGCAGCGTTTGCGCATGTCGTACATAACACGCTTCTGCTCAGAATTCTCCGAAATCTCCTTTCTATAGGCCGTCAAGCGCACACGCCAGCCACCGCCACGCGACAAAGGCAGTATTCTGTTGTCGGGCTATAGAGTGTATAGGCTCATTGATTGCGTTTTCACTTTCTCTGTGGGTCAGCGTCTGAAAATAATGGCAATGTAAACGGGAGCTGTGTGTGTGTGTGTGTGCGGTGCGTGCGTGCGTGCGTGCGTGCGTGCGTGAAGTGCGTGCTCGTGCGTGGCGTGTGTGTGTGAGCCAGGCGTCGTGCGTGCGTGCGCGTGCGTGCCCGTCGGACGCGGCGTCGCCCTGCTGCGCCAGCTCGTTCCGTCCCGTCCGGCATGCTGTGCGTCGTGCGTTGCGTTGCGCGATGTGTTTTGTGCGTGCGTGCGTGGCGTCGCCTGTGCGTGCGTCGCGTGGCGTGCGTGCGTTGCTGTTGAGTGTGTGTGTCGTGTGTGCGTGCGTGCCGTGGTGCGTGCGATGCGTTGCGCTTGCGTGAGCGTCGCGCTGTGCGTGCGTGCGTGCGTAGTGTGTTGTTGTGTGCTGTGTGTTGTGTGTGTGTGTGTGTTTACGTCGGGATCTACAATGCTGTCGAGATCAAGCGCATAGCATCAGCTGATATGTCGCGTTTAAATATTCTGCTGTGTGCTATTGGGCAGTCGGCTGCTTGTACACGCGTGTGGTCTTCTTTGTACGTACGTGTATAGTGCGCGCCGCGCGCTGGCGTGTACGGCGTGCTCGCGTGTTTGTGCCGTGTGTGCGGTAGTCTTTGTAAGCCGCGTGTCTGCTTGCTTGTCATGTTTGCTGAAGTTTACCCTCACTGGTTGCTCTATCATTATCCCGCGCGCGTGTATAGTCGTGTGTTGTGAGGCCTCGCAGGTCCTCTCTTCTCCTCTCTCTCTCTCTCTCTCGTCTACTCGCTCTCTCTCTCTCTCTCTCTCTCTCTCTCTCGTCTCTCTCTCTCCTCTCTCTTCCATAGTCTTCTACTTCTATTTGTCTTCAGATAAACCTCCGCAACTGTAGAGATCCTTCGGAAAATAACGTTTACGATCGAATTTTCCCCGCAAAATAAGGCAAACCATTAAGTTATTCACCGGAGTTAAAGAATGCAATCGACGACGTGTGCCAATTCTTTCTGCTCTCTGTCTCTCTTCTCTCTCTCTTCTCTCTTCTCTCTCTTCTCTTCTCTCTCTCTCTCTCTCTCTCTCTCTTCTTCTCTCTGCTCTCTCTCTCTCTCTCTCTCTTCTCTCTCTTTCTCTCTCTCTCGTCTCTCCTCTCTCTCTCTCTCTCTCTTCCATTTCTATCCCTCTCTCTCCGCGCGCCGCACTCTCTCACTTCTGTCTCCCTGTCTCTTTCCCTCTCTCGCACTTCCGGCGCGCGCAGTTTCTCTCGCTCACTCACTCTCGCGCTTTCTCTCGCTCACTCACTCTCGCGCGCGTCCTCTCAATCGCTCAGTCTCTCTCTCACTCTCTCTCTTTCTCACTCACTCTCTCTCTCTCTCTCGCCAGCCCGTAAGCATCAGCCGATGACCTGCGAATCTAGCGCAGTGTTCCCTTTTCCGATCGACAGTGTTGGTGGTGATAATGCTGACGTGATAGCGCTGTCATTGTTGTAGGGATATTCCGGCGGCTCGCGGCCGCGGGTGGCGGCGGATCAAGCAATTATGATTCCATTCAAGCAATTTTCCACGTGCGGCTCGACGCTGTGTCCCGTTTGACCGCAACGCGCGGTCCAGTTCTGTCAGCTGTTGCTAGCGCATGCGTCGGTGATGTGTAGTGTGTGGGAGGGGGTGGGTATATATATTTAGGTGAAGATGATACTTGCGGCATTGGTTAGGATGCTGCAGCAGCAGACGAAGGGAGCACGGAGTGGTATGAGTCCGTGAGCGCGCGCGCGCGCGCTGTGTGTGCTGTTGTGTTGTGGCGTGTTCTGGCGCGCTCGCGTTGGTGCTGTGTGTGTGTAGTGTGTGTGTGTGTGTGTGTGTGTGTGTGTGTGTGTGTGTGTGTGTGTGTGTGTGTGTGTGTGTGTGTGTGTGTGTGTGTGTGTGTGTGTGTGTGTGTGTGTGTGTGTGTGTGTGTGTGTTTGTGCATACGTACACCATGAGCACTGTATAGCGTGCCGAATGTTTGATATTTAATGTTGTGCCGCATAGGACTTAGTTGTCGTTTTATGAGCGAAAGTCATGGAAAGTACGCTCCTCATCTAGCCGATATCTATGCGCGCGTGGTAAATAGAAATTACATTGCTCGTCCTTGTCATATTTCAAAGAAAAGTTAACATTTTTCTCCAATGTAATCTGAAGTCTGGAAATAAATAATGCGTTTTTGTGTGGGCACGCTTCGCTATTCGAATTTCGAATCGACAGTCGTGATTGTTCGGCAAAAGTCGTGATTGTTCGGCAAAAGTCGTGATGTTCGGTAAAAATCGTGATGGTTCGGCAAAAGTCGTGATTGTTCGGCAAAAGTCGTGATTGTACGGCAAAAGTCGTGATTGTTTGGGAAAGGTCGGGATGAAGTGGGGCGCTGCTATAAGATTATCGTATACAAACAATGCTCGTGTATCGGTTTGCAATGATTGTTTTATTACGCCTACACCGTCACTTCAATTGAAATGAATTTTGTATAAAAAATACTCCTCGTCGTCGCGTATACTGTATAAAAAACACACACCACACACACGACACATCGCACGATCACAGGCTGGTATTCTGATTTTCATCATAACTTAATTAAGCAATTGTAACATTTATAAGGCCACGGTAATAATAGTATAATACATACATAAACCATAATATTCTACCACCAAAGTGCAGTGCCATTTATCTGTACATAGCAAGGGTTCGTCATCACAGTCCTTAACACGTGTAGTGACGCGGGTACGTCATATTATAACTTATTTGACACCCGCGTCTTTCGCCTCGTGGTATTTTTTCGCTGGTTACGTACAAAACATCATTCACGAAGAACGGTAAGTCTTTGGTCTTTGTCATTATAAAGTCAAAAGCGAATACGCCCAGATTAGTTGATATCGCTGGTACAAGCTAGTAGGTTTTTCATTCGTGTAGGCTAGAAATGGATGCAGCATTTAAAATTGACAGCTTCATTGTAACTTACTAATTTCTTCGTAAGAATGTTCCGAATTCGAGTCTAGGTTAGAGCGGCTTGTGCTCCCGGGATTTTTTTACCGGTCGTCTTATATAAATTCTCGGATCTGTAGCTGTATGGATCTATAGACCGGCAGCATTGACTCAACTATACTGGCGAAAATTGTCAAATTATAATTTTTCTTTCTAAATGAGATCCGAGCTGGGCGTCCAGTTCGTTGTCTGTTCCACCTTTCTAGTGACGGTAGCTGTAGCTGGGAGCAGCATATCCGTAGCTGCGGGATGGGGCGGCATTGCCATAGCTGCGGGATGGGGCGGCATTGCCATAGCTGCGGGATGGGGCAGCGTAACCATATTCGCGGGCTGGGGCGCCATAGGCATCCTCGTGCGCCGGGGCTTCGTAGCCGTTCTCCTCATAGACGTCCTCGTATCCGATGATGGGGCCGGACTCACTGTAGCTGTACAGGTTCTTGGGCTGGTAGTACTTGTGTCCCTCTCTGGAAGATGAGTGACAATGTTATTAGGGATCCGATGTTGTCGAGAATTTGGCGTTTTTTTGTAAATACAGACAAACGTGTTTGTCGTTATCTCCTTATTGCATTCGAAAATTAAAGTAATCAAACAAATATAATACATAACGAAATGCAAGTATATATATACATATATATGTGTGTGTGTGTGTGTGTGTGTGTGTGTGTGTGTGTGTGTGTGTGTGTGTGTGCGTGCGTGTGTGCGTGCGTGCGTGCGTGCGTGCGTGCGTGCGTGCGTGTGTGCGTGTGTGTGTGCGTATGTGTAGAAAGCAATCGGACATTGCCGTCTCGCTTGCGGCAATGGTTGTTAGTAGGCCATGATTAATATTGACAGCAATCTATCTACGTAGATTTTATGGCAACCAGGATTTCATACGGTGTACGCTGAATTTCGCCTAACCTTGGTTCGCCAACGCAAGGCGGAAATACGCACCAGAAATCGACACTGCTGCCATCTGGCTGCTACTTACTTGTACTGGTACTGGTAGCCTCTTGTCTTGGCTGCGCTCTCCTGAGCCTCAGCGAGGTCGCGCGCGTACAGAGATCCGTGGGCGGTTCCGGTCTTCTGGAAGTTCAGCCCGCTGCTCCTCTGACCGTGTCCGGCGAGGTGACCTCTCTTCACGGGGCCGTAGCGGGAGGTGACGAAGTACTCTGGCGCGCGCGTGTAGGTTTGCGGTCTCTCGTAGCCGTAGTCGGCCGTCGGTTGCCGGTATTCGGATGCGTAGGCGACGGCGCAGAGAAGCGCGAGACAGACAAGTACCTTCATCGTCGTCTGCAAGTGAATGTTGTGAATTGTAAGTGAATGTTGTGAATTGCAAGTGAATGTGTGAACGCTCGCACGCAACCACGCACGCACGCACGCGCGTACGCAAGCGCTCACTCGCTCGCTCGCTCACTCACACTCACTCACTCACTCACTCACTCACTCGCTCACTCGCTCACGCACTCACTCACTCACTCATGCACTCACTCACTCGCTCACTCACTCACTCACACACTCACTCACTCACGCATGCACTCACTCACTCACTCACTCACTCACTCACTCACACACTCACTCACTCACCCACTCACTCGCCCACTCACTCACTCACTCGCTCACTCACTCGCCCACTCACTCACTCACTCACTCACTCACTCACTCACTCACTCACGCACTCACTCACTCGCTCACTCACTCACTCACTCACGCACTCACTCACTCGCCACTCACTCGCCCACTCACTCGCTCGCTCACTAACCGATTAGATCGCGAATTATCCACATTATAACTAGCTAAAGATTTTTCGCAATGAAATGTCTATTGTCTGCAAACTATTGTCACGCGCTAGCGAGTAATAATTCATACGTTACTGCTTAAGATTTTGTAGTTCTTCTTTATAGTTTATCAAAGATGTACTTGTTATCGATATCTCACTTTACGAAAACCACTTTATCTAACATCGTGTCTGCCTTGCATATCAGGCTTACTTCATAACATTATCTAGAATTTGAAATCGGGTTAGCTAATTCAATAGCGCACATATAAAATGTGGCTGCATCAGTGAAACCGTGCGCGCGCACACACACACACACACACACACACACACACACACACACACACACACACACACACACACACACACACACACACACAAAATGCAGAAACGCGGGCTAGAGAAGATGTAATAAGTAATAATACACCATAATATAAGTAAGTAACGCGGGGCCAGCTCTGATTTATTCGAATTCGGTCATAGATATCAAGCGTAGATTATAGGGAATAATGTACTTTTATCTAGACACGATACCCACATGAGACAGGATTTTCTATCATCTACTCCTACTAGCTATATATATTATGCATAGTACATATACATATACCGAGTCAGGGTATCTTATCTAAGGCTAGAGTTGCACAGTGACTCGATCCTGTTTCTACTTACGGTTGCGTTGGATGCTCTTCTGTTTGTTGCTGGTGACGCTGGATGGAGTCGACTGACTGGATGCCGACGTCTTGCGTCGATCGTGCGTTATATACTCGCCCGAGCGCAATCTTGACACGGATTCCAGCGCTGGCTGAATCTCTCAATTGTTGCCCCTCGAAGACGCGCCGCCACGCGCACACGGCGCCCGCGCATGCGCGCTGGCTCTCACCTTGCCCGAGCAATAGATACTGCCGCTATTGACCACCATAGTCCCGTAATCTCATTCGAGCGGGATTTTTCGCATGCGGAATAAGACAATAGGGTATTATTGTGGGGACGCTGCGTTAGAGGGGAAGTGGGGCAGAGACGCCTTTGCGGCGTTGTTATATGGTGGCAATCACCGGCGATGATCAATGTCAGGCTTTCGATTTCCGCGGGCCAGCTTATTTTGGGTGTCTATGGGGTGGACGGCGCAGTGCGGACGGCTGCTAGGCATGCGTGTGTCCGATGCAGGTGCTGGGTTTGCCTGGACCAGCCCGACTACTAGAGACGGAGCGTGTCCTATAGCAAATAACAAAGCATGCGCCTGTGTGGTGTGGGTGTTTAACTGGGCCATGTGTGGTATAGGTAAAGGGCGAACCGAGGGAGCTCGCAGAAGATGAGGCAATCTGTGTGCTGACCATCTAATCTTACTCCTCTTCATCTGGGTCATAAGAGTGCATGTGTCACAATAGTCGAATGTAATAATAATGATGAATAATATAATAATAATAATAATAATAATAATAATATAATAATAATAATAATAATAATAATAATAAATAATAATAATAATGAGTGAAGTCACGAAGACGGGTTGTCACGCTTGCCGCCCCTCCCCCTTGAAACGTCACCCCCTGTCTCGGAATCGGCAGTCTCGTGGCATTGGGAATTATCAGTGGATCAGAACTATCGCATAATCCGGTGATTATGACAAGGGTGTCATTCGATTGTCTAGACCAACCAACTTGGTTTGCTGCAGCGACGTCTCTCCTCCATCTCTGCTCTTCAATCTCATGCTCTCTCACGACACTTTCTCACTTTCACTAGTCATCGTG